TTCTTGTCACCATCACTAGAGCTATCACTATCCAAAGAGCCATCACTATCCCATGTGACCACATAGCCTCCACCTTTCTTTTTCTTTTGGAAGGTCATTCTCTTCTCCTTCTTCTCCTTTTCTTTCTTATCCTTTTTGAGCTTCTTCTTCTCATCCTCATCATTGTCACTATTGTAAGGGCAATTTGCTACAACATGATCAGGGCTCTTACAATTGTAGCATCTTCTCACATACTCTTTGCTCTTAGTGTGATCTCTTCTCTTTCTTGCACCGTATCCCTTCTTCTTCATGAACTTGCCCATCTTGCACACAAAGAGAGTCATAGCTTCATCATCAATATCACTAAGATCCTCATCATCACTTGATTCTTTCTTGGACTTGCCTTTGTTCTTGTATGATGATGAGCTAGCCTTGAATGCTACACTCTTCTTCTTCTTGTCCTCCTTGTCATCCCCCTCTCTTTCCACACGGTATGTTTCTTGTGTCATGACTTCACCTAGTACTTGGTTGGGGTGATCTCCTTTAATCCTCCTCTTATGATTAGCAATCTTAACATTTCAAACCTTGGAGGTAGGCTCATTAAGAACCGATAAGAGACATCATCATTCTTGATCTTCTCTCCCAAAGCCTTCAAGTCATTGACAATGACTTGCAAGCGATGGAACATCTCCAGAATGCTCTCATCATCTTTCATCTTGAAGCTTATCAACTTGTCCTTGAGAATATATAACTTGGCACTCTTCACCTCCGGTGTGCAATCATAGGTTTCCTCCAATCTCCTCCACACTTCATTTGCTTTTTTACAATCCTTGATTTGCTCAAACACCTTTGAATCAATGGCATTGTATATGGTGTTGAGCGCCATTGTGTTGCATTATTTGTTAGTCCTATCTTGATTGGTAGGATTGTTCGGATCAATGATATCATAATCATTTTCCGTCACTTCCCACACTTGATCATTGATTGAACCAAGATACATCTTCATTTTTCTCTTCCAATAATCATAGCTTGTGCCATCAAAGAATTGTGGTTTGCCCCCCACATGGTTGAACACAAGTTGAGCCATAATTTGACACCGAGGTTGTTAAGCCTTTACACAAACGGTGACCACAGCTCTGATACCACTTGAAAGGTCCTAATATGGCTAGAGGGAGGTGAATAGCCTATTTAAAAACTACAAATCAACTAGAGCAATTTGATTAGTAAGACAAATAGCATAATGCAAACTTGCTCTAGCTCTACAAAGGTTGCAAGCCACCTATTCAACAATTCTAGTAGCAATGATTAATGGGCACACAATCTACTTGATCACTACTCACTAAGAGCTCTCACAAATGCTACACTAAAGAGCTCCACTAGATAAAAATACAGCACGAGGCAAGCTCTCAATTCTAATTACACTAAAGAGCTTGCTATATCTAGTTTACGGAAATGTAAATGAGTAAGTGATACGATTATACCGCGATGTCGGAGAGTGAACCAATCACAAGATGAAGATATGACCAATCACCGGGAAAATACAAATGACAAGAGACAATCGATTTTTCTTCCAAGGTTCACGTGCTTGCCAACACGCTAGTCCTCGTTGTGTCGACCAACACTTGGTGGTTCGGTGGCTAAGAGGTGTTTCACAAACCTCGTCCACACGATTGGACACCGCAAGAACCTACCCACAAGTGAGGTAACTCAATGACACGAGCAATATATTAGAGTTATCTTTCGGCACTCCATCGGGGAAGGTATAACTCCCCTCACAATCACCGGAGATGGCCACGAACAATCACCAACGCATGCTAATCCTCCACCGCTGCTCCAAGCCGTCTAGGTGGTGGCAACCACCAAGAGAAACAAGCAAAACCCGCAGCGCAACACGAATGCCAAGTGCCTCTAGATGGAATCACTTAACCAATGCACTTGGATTCTCTTCCAATCTCACAATGATGATGGATCAATGATGGAGATGAGTGGGAGGACTTTGGCTAAGCTCACAAGTATGCTATGTCCATAAAAATGTGCAAGAGTGTGGCTTGAGCCGGCCATGGGGCTTAAATAGAAGCCCCCACGAAATAGAGTCGTTGTACCCCTTCATTGGGCACTGATCGGGCTGACCGGACGCTCCGGCCGAACTGACCGGACGCTGGTCCTCAGCGTCCGGTCGCCCGATGGCGGCCATGTGTCACCTACGTTCAACTGTGAACGTTTGATCTCAACGGTCAAAATGTTGACCGGACGCTCCGACAGAGCTGACCGGATGCTGGACCCTCAGCGTCCGGTCGTTTCCAGTAAGGGTCCAAATCCTATTTTTGCCGACCGGACGCGTCCGGTAATGCTTGATCGGACACAGCCCAGCGTCCGGTGCTTCATCCTAACCACTGTGCCGTCTGACAGCTCGACCGGACGCAGCCTTTTAGCGTCCGGTCGCTGAGTGACCTAGCGTTCAGTCAGTAGACCGACACCAGCATCATTGCGACCAACTCCATTTCACCTCTAACTTCTTCACCCTTGTTCAAATGTGCCAACCACCAAGTGTATCACCTTGTGCTCATGTGTTAGCATATTTTCTCAAACATTTTCAAGGGTGTTAGCATTCCACTAGATCCTAAATGCATATGCAATGAGTTAGAGCATCTAGTGGCACTTTGACAACCGCATTTCGATACGAGTTTCACCCCTCTTCATAGTACGGCTATCAATCCTAAATGTGATCACACTCTCTAAGTGTCTCGATCACTAAAACAAAATAGCTCCTACAATTTATACCTTAGCCTTGAGCCTTTTGTTTTTCTCTTTCTTCTTTTCTAAGTTTAAGCATTTGATCATCACCATGCCATCACCATTGTCATGATCTTCGTCATTGCTTCATCACTTGGAGTGGTGCTACCTATCTCATAATCACCTTGATAAACTAGGTTAGTACTTAGGGTTTCATCAATTAACCAAAACCAAACTAGAGTTTTCAACGCACTAATTAGCATCACACGCCAAACCCTTAATAGGGTGCCGCACAACCAACACAAGATGAGGATCACACAAGCCACGAGCAATTCACTAGAGTACCTTTTGGCTCTCCGCCGGGGAAAGGTCAAGAACCTCTCACAATCACCACGATCGGAGCTGGAGACAATCACCAATCTCCGCTCGACGATCCTCGCTGCTCCAAGCCGTCTAGGTGGCGGCAACCACCAAAAGTAACAAGCGAATCCCGGAGCGAAACACGAACACCAAGTGTCTCTAGATGCAAACACTCAAGTAATGCACTTGGATTCACTTCCAATCTCACAAAGATGTTGAATCAATGATGGAGATGGGTGGAAGGGCTTTGGCTAAGCTCACAAGGTTGCTATGTCAATGCAAATGGCTAAGAGTGAGCTAGAGCCGGCCATTGGGCTTAAATAGAAGCCCCCACGAAATAGAGCCGTTGTACCCCTTTACTGGGCACTGCTCGGGGTGACCGGATGCTCCGGTCAGATAGACCGGACGCACCATGCCAGTGTCCGGTCAAAGGATGGCTACCACGTCATCCCTCTCTTCAAATACTAAGCATCTGATCCTAATAGTCAAGTGATGACCGGATGCAGCACAGTGCCACGACCGGACGCAGGACCCCAGCGTCCGGTCACTTCCAGTAACATTCCAGCTGCGACCGGACGCATTAGTTTGATCATGATCGGACACAGGACCCCAGCGTTCGGTCATTTCCAGTAAGCCTCCACTCACGACCGGACGCGTCTAGTCATGCCCGACCGGACTCACCCAGCGTCCGGTCACTCACTGTCTCCTCTGTGCGCTGCCATGCCAACAGGATCGGACGCACCCTGCCAGCGTCCGGTCACGAAGTGACCCAGCGTTCGGTCGAAGACCGACGCTAGCATCTTCACTGCTTCCACTGATCGGACGCACCAGTCCAGTTTAGACTAGCGTTCGGTGCACTCTGTGAAACCCTGTCTTTTCTGTACAGGGCGCTGGTGGCACCGTCGGACTGTCCGCACTCTACGGGTGGACACTCCGCCGGTGAAGTTTCTAACCCTTGCTCAAATGTGTCAACCACCAAGTATATCACCTTGTGCACATATGTTAGCATATTTTCACAAATGTTTTCAAGGGTGTTAGCACTCCACTAGATCCTAAATGCATATGCAATGAGTTAGAGCATCTAGTGGCACTTTGATAACCGCATTTCGATACGAGTTTCACCCCTCTTAATAGTATGGCTATAGATCCTAAATGTGATCACACTCACTAAGTGTCTCGATCACCAAAACAAAATGGCTCCTACCATTTATACCATTGCCTTGAGCCTTTTGTTTTTCTCTTTCTTCTATTCAAGTCCAAGCACTTGATCATTACTATAGCATCACTATCATTATGTCATAATCTTCATTTGCTCTACCACTTGGAATGTGCCACCTATCTCATAATCACTTTGATAAACTAGGTTAGCACTTAGGGTTTTATCAATTTACCAAAACCAAACTAGAGCTTTCAGCTTGCAACATGCCTCTGAAATAATTGCAACATTTGCAACATCCCTCGATCTACTTTTGCAACATCCATATGAAATAAATGCAACATTCATCTAAAACGCTTGAAATACTTAAAACATACATATGCAATATAGGGAGGGGAAGACTATCCGATCGATTTTGACGATGGGGCGGGGATGAGCTCAGTTGCCAAGGTGAGAGAAGGCATCGCCGGGGGTGGAGGGGGCGCCACCGGGGTAGGGGAGGAGGCCGCCGGGGTGAAGAAGCACGCCACCACCGGTCAGGGAGGCAACCATAGCCACGCGTTAGAGTAGACGCGGGGCGCGAGCGTGGAAGGGAGGAGAAAACGAGGGACTAAAGTGTCGGAGCTAGTGGAGTGCGGGGTCCAGGACGTAGCATTATGGAGGCGGGACCTCACCCAATAGCACCACGCTCTCCATCTCTCCCGCCCCGGAATCTAAACCCCAGCATTCTTGAGAGATCCCAACGAGAAACCCTCGCCAATCGGCAGTCGCCATGGCCGGCAGCCACCTGCGCTCGCTCCGTGTCCTCGCCTTCTCCTCCGCTAGGTCCCGCTCCCTCCTCCACCTACTCCCCCACCCCCTCTCCTCTTCCCAATCTTCTCACGCCTACCACCCACGGACGGAGCGCAATGGGGGGCAAACTGGGCTCCGCCCCCTTATCCAAAACAAAATTCCCAAATATTGTTTAGCCCACGAAGCCCAATAGCCAGACACCCCAACAACGAGAGCAGAATAGATGAGTACCGCGGCTCCGACCTCCGCCGCTCCGCTAGACCGCCAGTCCACCACGGCGCCGTACCGCGCCATCGCCGGCCCCCAGCCGAGCAGACACCAGCACACCAGCAAGGGCAGCCGCTCTGCCTCTCGACTCGTCCTCCCTCCAATCCTCCATCCCGCGGTCCTTTCAAGTACTTGACATCATTTGAGTTTGTGTTTGTGTTGTGTATGATGAGGGAAATGTTAGAAATAACTAAACTTGGCCAAGCTTTACAAAAGAAATCGCAAGATATAGTAAATGCTATTCGCCTTGTGCAAACCACAAAAGTACTTCTTGAGAAAATAAGATCTGATGATGGATGGAAAACTTTTTTGCCAAGTTGTTGAGTTTTGCATGAATCATGACATTCTTATTCCAAATATGGAAGAAACATACATTTGCGTGGTGGCCGTGCTCGTCGTCAACCTGAACATTTTACTAAGGAGCGCTACTATCGAGTGGAGATATTTCGTGCAACCAGTGATACCCAGTTGGCTGAATTAAACTTGAAGTTCAATGAGAAGGTGATGGATCTTTTGTCCATTAGTGTTACACTTGTACCAGGAAATGGATTTGCAGATTTCCAAACAAAAGAGATATGTAGAATGGTTGAGAAGTACTACCCGTTAGATTTCAATCAGCAAGAAATGATTGGGTTAGAGCGTCAGCTAAACCATTTTATTATTGATGCTTCTACCAATGAAGACATGAAAAATATTTCTACCTTGGTGGACCTATGTCGAGGCTTTGTTAAGACAGGACGGCATATAATCTTTAACTTGGTTGATAGATTGATCCGTTTGCTTGTTACTCTTCTAGTTTCAACAGCTACTGCAGAACGTATTTTCTCTGTCTTGAAGATCGTCAAGACAAGGCTGCGCAACAAGATAGAAGATCAATACCTTGCCAACAGTTTGCTTGTTCAGGTCGAAGGTGAAATTGTAGAACATTACACCTATGATGATATAATCTCATATTTCAAGGATCCGAAGAACAGAAGAGCAGACTTTTAGAATTTGATAGTCCTATGAAGTTGGACACATATTTTGGCTTGGCTTGTTTAATAGTTTGTGATCACTTGTATTTTGTAAAATACTAAAATGTGATCCAACTATAAATATATATAACTAGCTAGTTTTAGTCCATAACTTGGTTAAAAGTAGTCTGACAGTCTCTGTAGTCACATATGTGATTAGTTAAATTTATGATAGTATATATAATTTTATTTCTGATGTCAACACATTTCACGTTTATTTCAAGTTGGCCCCACATTGTGCCGTGCTCCGTCGCTGCTACCACCGTTCCCCGTACCCTGCCGCCGCCCCCAACCATGTCCATCAGGCCCAGCAGCGGCATTGGGCGCCCCCACGGAACCCTTTTCCCGATGGCCCCCCTCCACAATGGTCCTCGCAGGGACATCCCTTTCCCCCGCCGCCGAGAAACTACCAGCAGCAGGAGCCGCGGCAAACCTACAGGTCTCCACCCACGCAGCAGCCGATGCCACCGCCACGGCACGGCTACGAGCCTCCGCCCCCGCAGCAGCACGCGGCCCCGCCGCCGCCTGAACCTGTTGCGGGGCCTGGTGAGCTGATAGGACTGTGCCGGGAGGGACGGGTCAAGGACGCAGTGGAGCTTCTCGCCAAGGGGGCGCGTGCCGACCCGCCCGCCTTCTACGAGCTCGCCGCCGCCTGCTCCAACCCGAAGCTGATCGAGGAGCTCAGGAAGGTGCACGACTTCTTCCTCCGTTCGCCCTTCCGCGGGGATCTCCGGGTCAACAACAAGTTGCTCGAGATGTACGCGAAGTGTGCTGCCATGCCCCGCGCCCGCAGGACGTTTGACAATATGCCTGACCGGGACATGGACTCGTGACACATCATGATCGATGGGTACTCGATGAACGGTCTTGGGGACGAGGCACTGCGGCTGTTCGAGCTGATGAAGGAATGCTTGGCGCCGACCAGCCATACCTATGTGCTTGTGCTCAATGCTTGTGCCAACTCGGAGGCTATTGAGGAGTTCCTTTACTTCGATGCCATGTCCAGTGACCATGGCATCGAGCCTGGTGTGGAGCACTATGTTGGGATCATTGAGGTGTTGGGGAAGTCGGGGCATCTCAACGAGGCTCTGGAGTACATTGGGAAGCTGCCTTTCGAGCCCAATGCTATGATATGGGAATCAGTTTTGAACCTGGCACGTATGAATGGTGACATTGATCTTGAGGACCGGGCAGAGGAGCTATTGGTGTCGCTCGATCCATCCAAGGCAAATCCTAAGAAGCTCTCAACCCCACCTCCAAAGTGGCGTCTGGGGATTAACATGCTTGACGGGAGGAACAGGCTGGTGGAGTACCAATTGCCACCCAAGATTGAAAGGAAGGTGGTGAATGAGCAGAGATATGTCCCAGACACAAGGTATGTGCTCCATGACATTGACCAGGAGGCAAAGGAGCAGGCATTGCTGTACCATAGTGAGAGTCTGGCAATTGCGTATGGTCTGATTAGCACCCCAGCAAGGACTCCGCTTCGCATCATTAAGAACCTCAGGATATGCGGGGACTGCCACAATGCCATCAAGATTACGTCGAGGATCGTAGGGAGAGAGCTCATTGTTAGGGACAATAAGAGGTTCCACCATTTCAAGGATGGGAAGTGCTCTTGTGGTGATTATTGGTGAACATGGATCCTACAATCTGAATGTGGTGATTACTGAAGTAGTGAAGTTTACTGCTATCCTATATAAATATATGTTTGCATCATGTCCTTGTTCCTTGCTATATATAAGTGTGGCTGCAACATTACACCTTGTGATTTGCATGTGAACCTGTTGGTCATTGCCACCCACATAGTACTTACGAATTGAGATTAATAGAGTTGGACAAAAAAAAAAAGTGTGATAGAGAATTAATGGTGACTGATGGTCAACATCGTGTTCTGCTTATAATTCTTTAAAGTTGCTGTTTTTGTGACAAGCGATAACTATGATGCTATGCAGATAAACTCAAGGTTGGCTTTGTGAGTTCACTTGCCTGTCCTTAGTGCTGATTATATTTGCCCATTATTGTGGATTTGGTCTTCGTGATGTACTTTGTTTATGTTTCTTCTTCTCAGTTGATCAGACCTTGCTATGTTATTATTACTACACTGTAGAAATCAATATATGTCATGCATAGTGTAATGGTGCTCCATGTGTTCGTTTACATTGCATAGTGCAACTCAATGAAAATCCACTCATGGAGACAGTCAAAACCTATGGTAAACGGTGGAACTGAAGGCTCTAACTTAAGGGTCATGCTAGAGTCATAATACCTCGGAGAACACTTGCTTTGAGCGCAACATATGCCTTTTTCCTACCCAGGTCAAGTTTCCCTTATGTACCCTTGCCCAGGAATTGCAGCTCACGTCATTGGGTATGCTCATTTGATCAAATGGAATGAGGTACTGTTCTTGTCTGTATAGTTTCTTTTCAGTGTTCATCCCATACTAAAACATTTAAAGTCACTGTTGTAGGTTCATCCATGCGAACATGTTGATGCTGATGATGCAGAACATATGCAGTGGATTTATTTAGAGGTGTTCTTTAATGCAATGTCATGTACTATATATTTTATCTGAAGCGCACTTCTTGAGTCATTTGCTCCACCCGACGCATTCACTGTTCACTGGAGCCGGCTCCTGGCTCTGCGAGAGGGAGAGGGAAGAGAGAGAAAACTGGCTCAGTGAACAGTGAATGTGTCCGGTGGAGCTGAAAAGGCCCTGAGTCGTACGTAGGTGTTGTCCAGATGTGGCTCACCTCTTCCATTCCAATTTGCAAGCGTGCAAGCCGTAACGTGTTGAGTTGTCTTTACATTCGGAAGGTAACTTGATTTCCATTTTCCCGGTTCCTTCCATCTATCAGTGTTCAGAGAAACGAGGGCCACGTTTAGTTGGTGCCTGATTCGGCGCCGCCCGAATTTGCGAAGGTACTGTAGCTACAGTATATTTTTGTTTTTATTTGGTAATAATTGTCCAAACATTGACTAATTAGACTCAAAACGTTCGTCTCGTAAAGTACAATTAAACTGTGCAATTAATTTTTGATTTCGTTAACATTTAGTACTCCATGCATGTACCGTAAATTTAATGTGACGGAGAATCTTCTTTTTGCATAGTGACAAAGTTGGAAATTTGGTGGAACTAAACAGGAGAGTCAAGCTCAAGCAGGTGGTTGCCAGATGCAGTGAGCAGAGCAGCCGCCAACCGCCGGTGCCTCCTCGTTCCCCACGTACGTCCTCGCCCACGAACGCACGTCCGCATCGAATCAGTCTGGACTCTGGAGCGCGCGCGCCGGCGTGGTCAAACTACAACCGGCGACGCGCCGCGGCCCGACCCGGCAACCGTCCCGCCCTGCCAAGACCCAAGAGCCACTCCCTCCCCTCCCCTATAAATCGAGCGAACGCGCAGGCGCGCAGCCTATGCAGTTCCACTCCCCCCACGCGCCCCAAGCAATTGTGCCAAACCCTGCTCTGCTCCGTCGTTCCTGCTCCTCGCTCGCACCGTGCGCCGCCTGCTGCAAGATCCATGGCCGCTGCCAACAACTCCCGCGCGCTTCTCCCCGTGCTGGCCCTCGCCGGCGTCGTCTTCTTCCTTCTTGCTCACGCCGCCGTCGCCGCAGCAGATGCAGATGCAGCCGCACCGCAGGGCCTGGAGTTCCACGTCGGCGGCCCGCGCGGGTGGCGCGTCCCGGACGCCAACACCAGCTACGGCTGGTGGGCCATGAACAACCGCTTCCGCGTCGGCGACCACCTCTGTGAGTATCCCAAGTGCTCCCATCCTGATGGAAATCAATGCAACTTGTTCAATTCAAACCTCCGGCTATCCACTGCCGTCGTCGACGGCGTATGTCTGTCTGTGGGCGTAATGATCTGAATCATGTCGCAGACTTCAAGTACGCCAACGACTCGGTGCTCCTGGTGGACCGCACCGCCTTCGACGCCTGCAACACCACGGAGCCGCTCGCGACCTTCGCCGACGGCGCCACCAGGTTCGTCCTCGACCGCCCGGGCTTCTTCTGCTTCATCAGCGGCGAGCCGGGCCACTGCGAGGAGGGACAGAGGCTCATCGTGCGCGTCATGGTGCACCCGGCCATCGTCGCGACGCCAGGCCCGGCCTCCGCGCCAGCGACGTCGGCGCAGCCGGGCCACGGTGGCGGCGGCCAGGGGCATCCGCCCAGGGCTTCCTCCGGCGCAGACACAGCGGTTGCCGCGGCTGCCAGCGTCGCCGTCGCGGCCGCACTGGCTGCCTTCGTCAGTCTCGTCTTGATGCTCCAGTAATCAGCTGTGTTGCAGCGCGTGCATGCGTACTCGCGTACGTAGTTTGTTAAGTTAATGCTATGCTTGTTTTAGTTCTGCTTGGATTTCAGTAGTTTTTTTGCATAATGTTCATCAATCACTCGGGAAGTATTTGGTGGTGTATCGTGTCAAGACAATTAGCTTGTTTTACTGAGTACTTAATTATACCATGTGATATTTAATTCCTATGCAATGCGATTTATTGTATTACATTGAATTACTATGCGAGATGTCCTTGGTTAGTTTATTCGGTAAAAAAATGCCCAATGTTTGGCATTGATTTCTTTGTGTATATCCATTCATCGTCTATCGGACGAACACGAACCCCAGTGTGCTATAACAGCAAGCAAAAACAAACGCTTCCTAAAAGTTGACACTAACCCTGTACATACTCAAAATGATTATGTGCCTGAAAGAACTTCTAAATTCTGACAACTGTGAAATATAAATTTCATTGTTTGCCTAAAAAATGCAGATACAGATCTGTAGGATATGTTGTTGTATCAAATCAATTCGAAAATATAAAAGTAACCCTAGCAAATTTCAGATAGAGCATTCCAACACCTGAACAATGTGATCTTCTGTAAAATCAGGAAATCGATTCATCCCGCATGGATTACCAAGTGGCTGTACAACACATCCACAGGTTTTTTTTTTTTTTGGATAAGGAACACATCCACAGTTGAAAATGCTATATACAATCTGTAGTTCTTTGCTTCAGTTGCAACGATGGTCAGCTACCTAAACTACCACGGCTCAGAGTTCTTGGTCCAGTAACTTGCCACAGGTCTACATCTGCTGCTCCAGCCATCCTCTGCTAAAATAAGGGTTACCCGCGCCTTGAGAGTATTCACAGCTTCGTCCTCCAAGATCTCCAATCGGTTCATCGGGGATTGCCCAGCCTGCAAAGAAACAATGCAGAGTGATGTTCGTGAGTTTTACATTTTCTGGTTCACTCCCATGATAGGGTGTCATGCCTGAAAGAATTACCTTGGCAGTTTGGTACAATGATAAGTAGTGTAGGCAGTCTTCATAGTACCCACAGTGGTACAGAAGGGCTGCGTAATCCCTCAGTTCATGTGGATTGTGATGCAGTAGTATCAGTCGCTCACAAGCTGAAACAAGAAAAAATGCAAGATATGAAACAGGTATCGCACTGAGAGAAATGCAATGCAAAATACATTCCTTTCTGTTTTTTTTGAGCGAATACATTCCTTTCTGTAGATAAAGCAATGGCATAGGAATGGCCCATGAGGCCATGATACATTCAAACTATCGCAGAAAGCAAATACAGTACCTGCTAAAGCACGGCGCATATCACCAAAACGAACGTTAGTCCATACTCCACGCATCAATCTATGGTGAGCAGCTTTAGCAGCAGCCATCTCAATGGCACTGTTAACCAAAATTGACATCATTCCAGATCTCCAGCAGCATCCAGTGTAAAAAAAGAACTACACTTGATAAATTCAGAGAAAGTACCTTATGTTTCCATGTGACCTTGCTTGGTTATCACCTAAAGTACCAGGGCCGTAGTGGTTTACAGCAACAGCATTCAGAAATAAGCTACTAAACTGATCAGACTGGAATGGCCAAAATGTACTCTTCAAAGTTCTCAAAGTCTGCATATAAGGACTAATAAAAATAAGCCCAAATGTTATTGCATACAAAAACCAGCAACTTTTGCAGCCTGCTTATACCATCTTTGACACAATAAAACCAAACATTATGAACAGGATTAAGAACAGACACCAACTTTAATAAAAATGTGTTCTGAAGCTGTTCAAAAAATTTGCAACAAATTGGATTCCTAACTCAAGTTAATCAGATGCAGGCTCAATCCATTAGGTTGAAGTTTAAAGTTGGATTAAAAGGTCTCAAACAAAGGAGGGGAAACAGAAATTTGTTAGAAACAAGTTTATTCACATTATTATATACTGAATATAATGGTTGAAGCAAACCACAAGCTTACCACTCAAAGGTGTGTCTGTGTGTGTGTGTGTGTTGTGTTTGGTTGCTGTCTAATCTCTAAGAAAAATCTTGTGCAGGCAAGAATGGAACAAAACCAAATTTGAACTTAGTCCTATCTATCAGTACTGATAAAATGATTCCTCACAGCGGTAGGAACACCAAAAAGAAAACAATATTGGTGGAATTTGTAGATAGGAGATAATCAGCCTGTTCGTTTCGTCGTAAACGATCGTGGATTATTTACTGCTGGCTGGTTTGGTGTGAGAGAAAAATACTGTTCCAGCTTATAATCCACGATCGTATACGAGCAAGCGAACAGGCTGAATATATTGAATTATTTGATTTGGTTGAAGTCTCATTTGGAAACATGAAATACCTATGCAAACAATCTTTTTTTCTGGTGAATGCGAAGGCCATAGCAAAATTAAGATGAAAATTCCCTTTTGTATGACAACCACCCAGAAATTTCACTGTGGTATCTTGGGTGCATCTAGAGACCAGCGACGGAGCCAGCGGTGGGGCTGGGGGGGCTCTAGCCCCCCCTACCGATCTTGGGCACGTGGAGCCCCCCTAAGCCCTCCCTTAAAATTTTATGCATATATGTATTAGATAGGAGGGGCTAAGGTTAAGAGAAGATAAAAAAGACTCTATTCTTTTGTTCAGCCCCTCCTAATTTTTTTTCTGGCTTTGTCCCTGCTAGAGACTGCAACGAGCATCTTAGCTTTAACACTCGTTGCTCAAGACTAGCATAGCACTAGATATTAAGCACACAAAAAGAACTCAATGGACTCCGATAGTGAAGATTGAAGGTTGGAATAAACTCACCTCAACCAAAAGTGACTTTGAAGTCATAATATGTGGCTCATCACCCAATTTGCCTTTTTGTTTGTCATAGCCCCTAGGGAGGCTATTGAGATCATTTGGAAAGAAAATCTCTGGATCAAAATCCAGTAACCCATATATTCGTACAGTCTTCAGTATCTCTGAATATATCAACGCAAGCATTAGAGCTGATCCAGAACGGCATGTCAAGACCTGGAAATTGTACAACCAAATAACACTAGATGAGGAGGCATAGCATATTTATTACAGTAGTGTATACAACTACAAGGCATAGAAGCTAGATTCTGGCATACCGAGTGAAGATACATAGTCCGCACATCCGACACTCGATTTGTTCTTCGAAACCCCTGAATGGAAGATCCTAGTAAATTAGCACCAATACTTGTAAGCTTTGCATGTAGAACAGCAATTTGCTAGGTAGAGACCACACACTACATCATGCTACATCAACCAGACAGCTGAAATGACTTCAAAATCAAGCCGTCCGTACGTAGTGATACCCAAATTGGGCTAGCAACAGGATCAGAATAACTTGGCGCAACATGGCGACAGCTATACGCAGTACCTTATGGATGTAGAGGTAGCGGTCAAGATAATCGAAGAAGACCTCGGGCGGCGCGCCGGAGGGCGGGAAGTTGCCGCCGGCGCAGAAGCCCGAGGAGAGGCCGTCGAGGCGCGCGAGGAAGGCGTCCACGGGGAGCGGGACCGAGGAGTGGGAGACGAGCGAGTCGTCCTCGGCGGCGACGCAGAGCGCGGCGCGGGCGAGGTCAGGGCCGCGGCTGATGGCGATGCTGCTCCCCGCGCTCACCCGGGTGAGCCGCCCCACCTGCGCCACGAACCCCTCCCGCGCCGCCCTGGCGTGCGCGGTGGCCACCCCCACGGCGTCGAGGGAGTCGTGCAGCACCAGCCGCAGCGGGGCCTCGCCCTCCCCCGCGGCGCCGCCGCCCTCCTGCTCCACGGCCGCCGCGCGGGGCCTGAGCCTGACGGAGGAGCGCCGCCTGCGGCCACGGCAGGGACGGCGGCCGAGAGCGGAGGAGGGGGGAGACCACGCCGCCGCGCAGCTCATGGCGGCGGCCGTGAGTCAGATTCACCGGATCGGGGCCGGGGGCGGTGGCGTCGGACGCCGCGGCTAGGAGAGGAGACGGCGAGGCGCCGAGCTGTGCTGCTGCGTCGTACGTGTATATATAAAAAAACAAAATATGGGATAGTATATAAATAAGGGCTACTGATGGTGGGCATGGAAGCTTGTTCTTGCGCCGCTCCTATTTTTCTACTAGCGTCGGCATCGTCTGCTGCCTGCAATGGCAGCGGTGCCCAAACTTGTTTGTCTCTCTGTTTGACAATTTTTTTTATTTTTAACACTTTTTTTTAACTATTTTTTTTAGATCTGACATCATTTTTTTTTTAAATCTAATATTTTTGGTCGCGTCTATTCGCATAACGCGGTGAATTCAAGCTACAGTGCCATGCATGGGCGCGGCAGGGGTGCCAACATGGCAACGTCCCGGCCCGCTGGTCTTCGTCGCGTCATGTGAATAGACGCGGCAAAAAATGTTAAATTTGAAGAAAAAGAACAGTGTCAGATTTGACAATAGTTTTAAAAAAGTGTTAAAAAAATTCTTTTTTGAAGCACCACTGCGACCGTACGCTGTGGAGGGCCTTATCTCCTCCTTGTCTCCTTCTCCTCCGAGGCACGGAGCCTCCATGGCCTCAGAGAAGAGAAGGCCAGCGCTCGCGAGCAGGTCCACGTCTCTCGCGCCTCACGCACGGAGATGGCCAGCGCTCGCGAGTAGATCCACTTCCGCGCGTCGCCGTCCCAGCGTCCGTCGTCGTCTCCACGCACGGAGAAGGCCAGCGCTCGCGAGCAGATCCACTTCCGCGCGTCGCTGTCCCAGCGTCGTCGTCTCCTCGATCTCCCGGCTCCCTCCGTGCCGGTCTCGCCGCGGCTCGCAGCCCGCGGCCCACAGCGTCCCGCGCCCCTCCGCCCCACAGCGCCGCGCCGTGCCGCCGTTGCCGGTTCCGCCCGCGCCGACGCGCCCCAGGGCAAAACGGACAACGGCCGCGCGCAGGCCCACACCACAGCCCACAGGAGGAGACGAAGCCGGGTGAAGCGAGTATCATTTCCAAAATCTCCTCTCCCTCCCGCATGCAGCTCCAGTCAGCAGGAA